TCCTGCTGCAGGAGAAGAAGGAATAGTGGTCTGCTCTGCCTGTGGAGATCTTCAAACTTCAGATGCTTGGTTTCTAAAGTACGCCTGTGCATTATGGCAAGATTCAGAAGGACGCTGTCAAAATAGCCCCTATGACAGCACATTAGTCGTTCTCTGCATGGTCCTTCAGGAAAAACAATGGGATGTATTTTCAGACGTCTTCCTTTACTGCTTTCTCCTCTCTTCTCTTCCCAGATGTATTTTTATGCAGCTTATGTGTTCCAAGAGGCTGGAATTCCTCAGGACAAAATCCCATATGTTGTAATCGGCACGGGGAGCTGTGAACTGATCACGTCTGTCACTTGTGTGAGACTCTTAATGCACTCTGCTGACATGCAGACGCTGTTGACAGTGAGGAGGCTGTTAATTACAAATTTCGGATTTACATTGCCTTTCATGCTAAGGAAATCCTTTATGCACAGCAGTCAGGCAGTCTCTCAGCACTCATGTCCAGACAGATTAATGCAGGAGTATTTTGTCAGACACTGCATCGTTATCACTGTCTGAAATCTCTAAACTCTCTTGTTTCATGTCAGTATGGATAGTGGCAGAGTTTAGGCTGCAGGTGGGACATTCTCATGTCCCCTGAACACCCTTCTTGCCTGACTCCTGCCAGCAGACCCTTTCCTTTGACTTTTCTTTTTTTTGCTAAGAAGTGGACAACATCCTTAAAGTAGTTGTAGAGCAAACTAGACACGGACTATTGAAATGGGAAGAGGGAGCAGCCAGGAAATATAAACAGAAGTTAAATATCTTGCTTTATTACACTGTGTTACTTTGTGCAGAACATGATTATAGACTACGCTGGTCGGAGGCCACTGCTCCTGGGGGGATATATCTTCATGGCAGGATGGGCCATTGTCTTCATGGTCGCTCTGAGCCAGCAGGTAACAAACTTTACTTAATTATTTAAGTGGAATGGAGTTGGGCTTTGCCTTTTATATGACTGGGGTGTTTAGTGGTGGCAAATAAGTGTAAGTGCCCTCACTGGTTTTCCGTTGGTCTCTGTGGCTGTAGACTCAGATTAGCTGGATGCCTTATCTCAGCATGGCCTGCATTTTCGCCTATATCCTGAGCTTTGGAATCGGACCAGGTCAGTTCCCTCAGTGTTTTCACTGAAACTTTTGGGTGCTGCAGGGGCTTGGAGATGTGTGCAAGGAGCTTATGGAAACTCTCAGACCCTCTTTAGCCACAGCACACTCAAAGGAATGAAGCAATTTCTGCCAGTAGTCTTCAGCTGTTTCACAGGGGCTTCCATGCCCCTGGTAAGTCAGTGTTGTGCAGGAGCAGACTGTGCTGTTCTCTGTGTCATTTCTCCTTACAGCCATCTTTTGATGGCACTTGGAGGTGATTCTTGTCTTAAATGGACAACAAGGTTTTGATTTGCTGCCCAATCCATTAGACCAGCATTTCTAATGCTTCACTTTAGAGATTGACGGCTACGTCATCTGATTATTTACTTGCAGATACCTGGAAGCACAATTTCCACGTCTATTTGTTAGCCTACTAACATGGATTTTCTTGGCAGAATCCATTAGTTTCTGTGGTTGTGGGGGCAGTACACAGGCTGTGTGTGTGCAGATGTTTGCTCAGTGTGTGAGTAGATGTGAGTCTGTGTTCACCTACATGAGTTTGAAGGAAGGCAGGTAAGAAAAGAACCGAGCTGCCAGTGTCACATGCCACATGAGTTGGCAGAAATTTCTTGTCTTAGTCCCTACAGTGCCAACAGGGTTGAATTAATTATAAGCCATTCTCACAGTTGGGTCCTAGTGAGAATAATGTGGATTACAAAACCTTTCCTGGCAGTTCATTCTAACATGAGAGAGTTTGAATAATTAGCCAGTCCTTAATATTTAACCTAAAACTTTCCCACTGCAGTTAATGTCTATTACCACTTGTTCTGGCATTGTTGACTAGTGAGAATAATTTACTGAATAATAATTTACTGTTCTCATATACTTCATGTCAGGTTTGCTTGTTAGTATGTGTTCTCTTGTTTTTAATATAATGTCAACAGTATTATTAACTTTCTTGCCATTTCTTTTTCCAGCTGGTGTAACAGGAGTTCTGCCCACAGAGGTTTTTGATCAAATGTCCCGGCCAGCTGCTTACATGATCTGTGGCTCTCTGCTCTGGTTCAACCTATTTCTGGTTGGAACAGCCTTTCCATTCATTGTGGTGGGTTCCCAAGGCAAAGCAATCACCTGCAGCTCTTTAGTGTTTTATACAAGAAAGAGGCTCTGATAGTGACCACGAAAAGAGATGGGTCCTGGAATATCACAAGCTGCAGACACACAGCCAGATAGCACTGTCATGAAAAGTACCTTTATGAGGAAAGTGGTCAAAACTCCTCCAAACCAAACTTCCTCCATGTTGTCTACGGTGATTTCTGATGTGAGGCTGGAAGCAGATCAATTTGGGGCATGGATGACCGGTATTCCTCCTCAGTCCTCAGCTGAGAACAGCTGGGACTAGAGGTGTGATGTAATTCCCCTTGGCCAGACCCTGGCATCATTCCCTAAGGTGATTCCTGAAGCGAAAGGGAACAGAACTCCACAATATCCAATCCTGTCTTATTTCCTCCTGTGGGTCCCCATTCTATACCATTATATATATATAGAAAGACAGAAAAAGACATTTTGAGATACTCTTCTTGCTATGTCAAATTTCCCAAACTATGCTGGGGAGCTGTTGCATCCAGGCATGTGAGGCCCTCACCAGGACACCCAGAAATACTCCCCGGGTGAAGTTAGTCCATGCAGAAACAGGGATTAGTGGCCTGTTTGTCATCGTACAGAATGTCACCAACACTGTCTTGTTTTTTTCCTCCTCCTCAGAAAAGTCTAGCACATTTCTGCTACGTCCCATTCCTTGTGGTCTGCGTCTGCACTGCACTCTATGTTGGGTTTTTCCTTCCTGAGACAAAGGGAAAGTCCTTCCTAGAAATCTCGGAGGAGTTCAAGAAACGGAACTTCAAAGCTCACACCCATGCGGTTTTTTATAAAGGCCCTGATGAGATCAAATCCACCATCTTGTAGCAGAAGAAAGGACGATGGTATCTGGGGGAAATTCAGCAGTGGCTATGTTCTCTTGCAGGGACACAAAGAGAGAGGTAGGGTTAGGGACAATATATTACTCTTAGGTTCTTAAGTTCACCTTGAAAAGATACACTTGAACTGATAAATCCAAACAAAAGTTTAATAATCTGTTTTCAGTTTTTAGGGCTAAGTAACACATACATATTTTAGAAACCATATTAGAGAGTGACAGAATGATGTCTTATTCTCTTATCATCAAACAACACCATGCAATGCTTTAGCAAATTTCTTCTGAATTTCTTCTGTATTTCTCCTCCACCCAAACAGTAACTTCCATCTCAGAAGCCTTTCTTTTCCTTGCCCCTGAATCTGGGCTGTCTAACACAGAAATTAATAAGATTAAGTTCTGTTTTCAGACACCAGATGAAATTCTCAGTACCTTGTCTTGGTGCTCCCGTTGTTTCTGTTATTAAGTGATTTCAAATAGACCCCTACTTGTTGAGCAGTGGTGAGCAGTTAATTATTTTCAGCTATAAAAACATGTGACGGATGGATTAGGAAGAAAGCTTCTAGTACTTGCTAAGTGGCTTACTATACAACTGACTTTTGGGCATTGTTTTGCAGACTATTTATTCTGGACTGGTTTTCTTCATGGCTTGTTTGTTGTCTTCCAGTCCTATGTTGTAAAGCACAAGTAATTCTCTAGTCCAGTCTATACTGCTCTCATGGACACTGCTAGTGCATCTTGTAGGGTTTTGCATCTGCGCTCTGCTAAGGTTAGAGTGTGGTGAGGAGCTTTTACGGCAGCAGCTTATTTTGGATGTGGAGATTTAGATCACAGCAGAACATTCTCTGCAGCATGTTCTTGTTGTCTCCATAGAGCATATTGGAAAAGATCCAGATGTCACACTGATTCTTTTTAGTTAACCTGGTACAGAACAGGGCAACACTCCTCATTTAATATTGCCTTTCACAGGCATTGGGTTGACGGGTGAAGTTTCTTCCAGTTTCTTCTCAAAATCATAATCAAGCAATCTCTTTTCTTTTGGCTTTGTTTCTATGAAAGTCCCAGCACTGCTGATGGTTGCAGCAAAGAACACGTACATTTTCAAAATAAGTAGTAAAAGTTTCTTTCAGTATATTTTTTAACTACATTTTTTAAAAAATACAACATTTTTGAATTACAAGACTGTAAACATTTCCGGAGTGTATTACTGTCATGCTGGGCATGAGTGGAGCAGCAGATCTATTTCTCAGAAGAGGAGTCTGTGCAAGAACTATCTTTCACTACCTAAGGTTTATAATATAGGAAAAATAAAACTAAACTTCTGTTCATTTGTGGTTGCTGCTATTTTAGAAGTCATTCGTATACAGACATGGGCAAGAGCAGGTATCTCTGCTCTTGGGCAACATTGAGATTTTGAAATACGCAGGATTTTGAGACAAGACAATCAAGAGCAGAACTCCATGGAGCTGGGAACTGCAGAGATACTTTTCATTTCCATAGTTTGGAGAGAGCAGTGAGGGGCAGATGGAAAGAGTAAAACACACAGTCAAAGAAAAAAGTGCTGGTACCATCATGATGGTATCAAAATATTCTGTTGTTCCTTCGGTGAGGATCAGAGAAAGGACAGGCGACACAAGTGAAGCAAAGAAAACAAGGCAGTAGAGAAGATGCAGGATAGGAAGCAGGGGATGGACTGAAGAGACTGCTTGGGCAGAGGGAGAGGCCTGGCACAAACTGCCAGGATGTACAGGTCAAAAAAGAATTGGTTAGAACTGGGAGAAGTCCTCCAATGTCCAGAGGTCCTCACCTTGGCCACCTTTATGGCTACTCCCATGAATCAGTATCGTTGTGCCTTTCCCCAGAGCCCTGGAAGGATGGAGGCTGTCTGCACCTGACAGTATGAACACGCCTGTTCAGAAATGATACACATTTACTTGACTTCCCGAGTTTCAGAGCCAGTCCTGCAAGTACCTGTGTCAGAAAACACTAATTCCAACTTCCAGCATTTTTTCTGACTATCACTGACAGACGCCTGAAATCAGGTGTCTTTAGACTGATTAAGCAAAGAAAAACAGTGGTTACATTTTAATTGTTCTAATTGGTTACATTTTAATTGAAGCATTTAACAAGTTGGTTAATTGTTACTGAATTAAAACACCTTCAATTGAAAAAATATATGACACTTGTTCAGGTCAATTTTCTTATCACGTGAAGTGTTAGGCACAAATACATCTTGAAAAGTGATCCTCAGAGACTTATAGTTCATATTATTGTTTACAAATCAAATCACCGTGCACTGTTGGATTGATTAATAACCATCAACACCAGAGAAAAATAGTTACTGCTGCTGTCCTCAAACAGTGCTCCTCTGCACAAGTCACCTCTCACTTCCAACACAGCTCAGTCCCCATCTATCCAGCTGGGATTCTTCCAGACACCGAAGACACAAAGCATCCTAGCCTGGGGAACCACCAAGTGCAGCCACTCACCAGCAGAAGGAATTTCCTCCTAGGCTGTTTGAATAACTTGTAAAAGCCTTTTAACCGAACCATTGTGGAGACTGATAAAGAGGCCCTTTGAGAATTATGGATAAAAGTAAAGATGTAATTTATTTATTTCACAGTCAGGATTTACCTAGCATCTACCATATATTACAGGGACACAGACTTGTCAGGCAATGACTGTTACTCTTAAAGTGTCAACTGACCCCATAATTCAAGAGTTGAATGCACAGGCTTAGTCAGGCTTGGTCAAGTCAGGCTTCAGAAGGCTTTGCTGTATTGACACTCAAAGTAGCAGCCAGGAACTTTTCCTTTAAATGTGATAACTGATTACCCAACCTATGACTTGGGGAAGTCCAAGCCAGTCCACTCTAGTTTGTGCCAGTCCCTGGACTTTGACTTCCATCAGTGCCTTTTTTATTGTCCTTTACTCATCTCCTGCAGCTCTTATTGCCTGTCAGCTGCTGCTGGAGCTTCTCTTCCCTAGTGACCTGGCATGAATGCACAGCTCACCAAAATTATCCGCAGTTTCATCAGTAACCAACACAATAATGACAAACCAAATAGCAAGAACTTCATGACAAACCAAAGGGAGTGTAAACACTGAGAAAGAATGAAATCACGTGTTGAAATATTACCTCAGGCTCCTCTTCCTCTATATATAGACTGACTTTTTCCAAAGTAACCAAAGAAAGCATCAGGAAAGACCTAGCCTGCAAGCTGAGATGACTACCTTTGCATGCAAGTTGGTATATGTTTCTCTTTTTCCCCCCTCCAAATAGAATTTTTGCAGTACATATTTTTTTCCTTTCTGCTATTCTAAAATACCTGTTGTATAAATTAAGTACAGAAAGAAAAGTAAATCTGAATCAGATGTGGTTAAAGTAATAGTATGTCATACCTGAGAGATATCAAATATCTTGCAAGGAATTATTTTTAAAAAGCAAAGAAAACTGGGTTTAAGAGCACATTCATATTTAATGTCTGATACATAAAAAAGGAAGACAAACCAAGGGAGTTCAGAGCAGAGCAACAAAAAAAAGCGGCATGATTTACTAGATGGAGGAGGGCTGGAAGACTGAAATAGTCCTCCACAATAAAGGAGTTACGAATGACAAAGTATCTGAAAGATGTAAACACCAAAGGATGGAAAACAATCCTTTCCAGTCAAGGAAGTATAGGAACAGATACCCAGAAAAGATAAAACAAAGATGTTTTTAAAAAGCAATTTTAGGATTAATATCAAGTTTAAAAAAATCTTCCTGAATTTAAATCTATTAGACTGGAAAAGCGACCCAAGAGATGCAACAGAAAAATCAAGCAATGGTGTTATAATGGTGTTATAATGGTTATAACCATTATAATGGTGTTATAATGGTGTTAATGATTCTATGATTCTATAGTACAGAATGGGGATGAGACTAAGAAATTTGCTGCAGGTGTGATATAAAATTTGCATTTAGCATAGGGCTTACTGATTTTCTTGCTGATGGGGAGTTTTGTGCTGACGTAAGGCCTTTTTTGTAGCACGAAGGATAGTGGGGATGCCTAGTAGCAGAGTCTCTGAATCTCATTTCTTCCTAATGCTTTGACAAACAGGAGATTGTTGTCATTTAATATATGAATGTGCCAAATACCAAATTTATTCAGAGCTCACTCCTTTGAAGCCAACAATGTTGCAACACGGATAAATTTGATGCCCATTCAAGCAATGGCATTCATCTGATTGGAAATCGGCTTGTAAATATTTGGCAGTCATTGTTCAGCATTGCCTTTGAATATGATCTCTTCTAGAGATGGAAGTGCAGCATCATGCCATCATTGCTGGACAGAATATTACGAGGACACTCAGTAACAGAGAGCAGTGGGAGTGGGAGGGATGGGGTATGCATGAATCGCAGTACTATATTGTGGGGGTATCCTTAAGCCTCCTATCAGATACAGTTCTAAGAAAGGATGAATAAACTATGAAACTAGGAATGCCCTTCAATCCCCAAATGTTTATCTAGTCCCAGCCAAGTCACTGAGCAAAATATTTATTTAGGTGAGATAACAAGTGGGAAAGGAGGAGGAGGAGGAAGGACAAATAGATGGAAATTGTGCACATAATGCTTGCACATTGCACCATGTTCCCGCAACTAGTCACCCTATGATAGTGCAGATTAAGATGCCCAAAGCTGAAGACAGAAGCACTGAAGTGTGTAATTGGATTCTGGGAGACAGCTACAAGCTTTGCGTCTCCTCAAATTTCTCGCTATCCTGTGCTTTAGTAGCTGTGGTCTTCTATTGCACTCTGCACTGGCTCCTTGGTCTCAGAGGAGGCAGGTACGTGACATTGCTCAAACTGTAAGAGTTCCTAAAGGTAAAACAGGATGTGTCTGAATAGCTATACTAGCTTTGTTTGCTGTTTTTATTTCCTGCCAGAAAATGAGCTACAATCTCTTCCTCCTGGCTTTTGTCCTGGGCATTGGTGGAGCTTTCCAATATGGGTT